TTTTCAATAGGCCACGGCTGCGTCCTTGACCTCCACCGCCCGCCGCCGCCGACATTCGCGAAACCATCCCATCCCGCCCACGGCTCTGTTCTCCTGCCTCCTGGAACCGGTGCACTCGTCTCCGTTGCTGGAGTTTGCCACCTCGGTCAGCACGTCGAGCACCACAGCCATCCTCGACAGCTCCGGCCAATGGGCGTCCAGCGTGGCGCCCCCTCTTCACGCGCGTTTGAGCTCCGCGCCAAGCGCGCTCCTAGCAGTATGAGCCTTCCCGACCACGGTGCACAAGAGAGCGTGGGTCGTACAGTATCTTCTCACGGGATAAAGTAAATAAATGGGACGAATCCAAAGCAATGGGCAGAGATTTTGTCATCATGCACATATATAGAATATTAAGTAGGCATGAGAAATATACTTAGATCCAGATCCAAGCTTTGCTAAGGTAGTGAACTAGTGATGTCCTTACGTTCATCCTTAATCACGCCATTTTGCAGTATCTATTCGCGGATAGATGGCCATTAGTAGTAGCTAATGAAGCGCGACACGAGGAATATTATGTCAGGTTAGGTGGCGATTGATAGCCCACGTGATCAAACATGGCAGCCACTGATAGCCCACGTGATCAAGCACAGTAACCACATGTTGTCTAATCGACTCCAGCTAGGACCCCAAACCCCACGCCTATCTAGCTCTATAAAAGCCCCGGCAGACCTCTACAAGAAAATCAACCCACGCTAGCCATAAGCAGTGAGTCAGTGCATCGACCTTCGACCAGCTATATATTTGCATCGATCTGGTCATGGCATCAGCAATGCTCCCGAGGCTCGTTGTCGTGGCGGCACTGGTCGCGCTGATGTGCGCCGTCGCTGTGGCCCAGAATGTACCTGCCGTCGGCGGTGCGCCGGTCTGCGACGGTGTCGATCAAAATGTCGTGAATGCGTGCTTCGAGAGCTGTGGAAAAGGTATGAAAATTGCCACTGCCGACAGGACTACTTCGGCGGGTAATACCAAGGTTCAAGTGGACTGCTGTGTAGCCTTTGGAGGCCACTCGTGCATGTGCCAGATGAAGAAGGCGTGGAAGGCTCAGGGCAAAAGTGCTCAGAATAATGTGCAATGCGTCAGGGAAAAGGCATGCTAGTGAGCTTGTCGTGCATGCAAGACCTCTAGTTTCGTTGGATATTTGTGTTTCTTGCATGTTGGTTTCAAGCGGTTGATGTCCACCTGCTCCTTGCTTGCTTTTATTTGCTTGTGTGTGTCATGTGAGTGTGTTATGTTTTTCTACGTATGAGAGTGTCAGTTGAGTCTTTTTAGTTTGTACCAATCAGAAATAAATGTGGGTGGAATTTCTTGCTTCATCTTGTTTTGTGTGTATATTACTAGCAAATATGTTCATGCGTTGCAACGGAAGAAAAAAAATCACCCCTCATACACCCACTCGACGACATCAGCGAATTCACTTAAACGTTTCATGATGCCATACAACCAACAACATGCTAAGTGGTGTTGTGTGTGTACTTAAGGTGTTTCCCAAAATCTTTACTGACACTATTTCAAACAATATAAAAATCAACCTTAAGCCACTTGTTTACATGAAGCTCGCATCAGCAGTTTTGTGTACATCACTGTATACGGGTTGGTTATCCTGCACTGTGTGAAATAGAGAGGATGATTATGTATCTATTGTAACGTCTAGCTTATGTTATTGTAACCTTTAGCACATGGTATCGGGTTGGAATCAACATACCCTATGGCCATAAAAAATCATCCCCTATGGTGGCAATAATATATTTTGTGAGAGCATCAAACTACATATCTACTCAATTTATATGGGGTAGGGAACATATAAATAGGCCTTTCCAAAACACCCCATATAAAGAAGGTATTTAATTAAGGTTATACGTTAAACATAATTTTAGAAATGACTAACATACAAGATAATAGCATATTTGGAATCTACATATTTTTCTGAGTGATTTTCATATAGAACATGCCAGATTTGGAGTTGGGGTTTGAAAGATATGAATATTTTGAAAAGCATTTGAATTTGTCCGAAAAAAGAAATGAAAAATGTTAGAGTTGTTGGGCCCAAATTGCAACATTATACATCCCATTTGCTAAGAATTCGGAGAGAGAGAGAAAACGGAAACAGAAAAATGGGCAAAAGTAGATGTTATTCCTTGCATCCCAAAACATATTATGGTACCAGCAAACGTAAAATACGGAGTTAATTGGTACATGCACACTGCCTTCGCGCAGCAGAGCTCACATCTTTAGAGACTAGTGCTTACTTTCTCTTGAGCAATCGGCATCGTAAGATTTAGGATAGATTATATGCAGGATAGATTATATGTGCCTTATATATGTTGACATGGATAAACTTCGATCTCCATACTCTTTGCACCTTCTGCTCAGTTCCAACTTGACGGGAATTAGGCCAACTCCACCGCGCAACCCCATTTTGTCCGGTCCCGTCCGTTTGAGGTAAAAAGGACAAACGAGGAGTCCCAGCGCGCGGGAGCAAACAAAATTTTGTCCGTTTTATGTCCGCTTTCGACCCATTCACGGTCCAAGTTTGCGTCGTTTTTGGGGTGAAACGGAAACCACGCGGACGCGCCGGCCGTTTGCGCGTCTCTTCCCCTGGCCTTCCCCTGGCCCGCCCGTCGGTGGCACAAGACGGGCCTTTTTCTATCCGCCCCCCACCCTCCCTCCGGCCGCATTCCACTCCACTCTTATCCACTCTTCCACACTCTTCCCCTCGCCGCCCGCCATCGCCGCCGCTGCCATTGCGGCCGTGCAACACGGACGCGCGCTCGCCCAGCCCCTTCCCCCCGTCGCCGCCGAGCTACCCAACCACGACCACCTGGTTTGCGCACCCGCCGGCCGGATTTGGGGCGGATCCAGTCGGTCTTGAGCTCGCCCGGCTGTGGGAGGCCGGTCCGCGCCATGCACTGGTCGGGCACCTCGCCGGAAGGCCTTAGCAGGGTCGCAAGGCCACATGTAGGCAGTGGCTCGTCCTCTAGCCGCTCGGATCTGCACCGTCGGTGGTCCGCCGGCAGATACACGAATGGCGGCCGGCCGGGCTCGGTGCTTGCCCAAAAGCTCGTCGGCGCACCGTTCCCCCTCATCAAGTGCGACCACTGCCCAAGGATGGTCGTGCGCCGCGTGTCTATAACATCGGAGCATTCCGGATGTGTGTTCATCAAGTGCTTAAACGATGGGGTACGTGCTCTTTTTAGCTTCGGTGTGTGCTCTCGGATTAGATTAATTATGCTAACTTTAAGTTTTATTGTGTAGAATGGATGCAAGTTTTGGTATTGGGAAGAAGAGTACATCGATATATTGATAGAGCGAAATCTAGTACATGTTCGTGCACTTTTAGCTAGCCTAGAGGTTGTAGATGAGACAAGTGCACTTGTTGCTAGATTAGAGGCTAGGCACGATACTACGTGTGAGGAAGCAATGTTGAATTCTGGCTTGAAGAAGAAAGGAGGGTGCAACGTCGAGCCTCTTCCACAGATCAACAATGAATGCATCGAGAAGGCCTTAACCCAACTCAAGGGAGCAGTTATGGAAGTTGAGTATCTTCTCAAACGTATTCTTGTGGTTCTTGTTTTCTTTGGCCTTACTTTATTAGTCAAAATGTGACGATGTATTGTCATGTATCAAAAATGAATGATGAAAAAAAATTTAAGGACTTGCAAAGAAAAGTACACGTGAACAAGATGCGGCCGGGATGCGGCCGCGCGCTGGGCGCACGGCCACCGCATCCCGAAAACTGCCCGAACACGACCCCATCCCTTACCCAAACGGACAGATCGCACGGTGGAGTTGGCCTTAAACGCAATGCTAGCTGCCTAGCTCACAACCCAAGCAGTGTCGCTCGCGAAGTCAGCGCGCTGGCGAGTGCGGGGTGCGGCCAGCCGGCTCAGGCCACGCCGCGAGCCGTTCGTGCAGTAAGCCTCCATTGCGCGCGTGGGCGGCAGCCCCACCTTAGCTTGCGGAAGCAATGCTGGCCGGCCTGACCACCCGCGCCTACAATGGTCGTCCGTGAGCCAAATTTCAACCAGAGGCTGAATAGTTGGCGCAGTTGATAATGCACTTCACTTAAGAAATAAAACAGTTGGCGCAGTCGATATACATTTGTTATGATACAACAAATTAAAGTACAATCAGTTTGGAACCCCACATGGCCGAAGGAGATGAGAAACAATCAAAGATTTTATTTGCTTTGATACAATCAAATTAATGTACAGTTAGCCTGCCTGCAACCACACACAGCAAGGGGGGAAGGAGATGCAACCCCATCTCCCCAAGGAACAACACAAGGAAGACTACAGGGATAAAACCCTCCTCCCTACCTGAACTCAACATCAAACTAGAGAGCCAAGAAGTGTGAATGGGAAAACTCCATGTGAGACGACGACGACCTCTCCTACGGCATGAAGAAGAGCTCCTGCCGCATCGTCATCATCTTGCCTCGAGTGAATTGCAGAAAACATCGACATTGAAGGCTAGGGTTGCAGAAACCACACTTCTACAGTTTTGTGCCAAAAACCACTAATTCTGAGGCTAATTTTTTGCAAAAAACACTAGTCGATGACTTTGGCCATTTTAATGATGATTATGACACATGGGTCCCGCATTTGCTGACGTGGCGTAACGGTTCGTGATAGATGACGTTAGACGGGGGATTTACAGATATACGAAACAATCCCTGTAGTTTTACATGGAGGCCCTTCAATCAAAAAACAAAAAAGCAATCAAGTCCAGGATTTGGACTTGGGCTGCCCGGCGAGCAGAGCAGCAGCACGCAGGCCCGGCCATGGTACCGTCGCCGGCGAGGAGGGGGGCGGGGTGGTGTCGGGATCTGTATGGTCGCGCCCCTGTAGGCCACCAGGTCCGACGAGGCGCTTCGGGATGGCCTAGCCCCTGGCGAACTCTGGAGGGCTA